ATGTTTGTTATCACCTATTCTCGTATATCATCGTCGACTTAAATCGCATTAGTCAATAACGGAATTAAATAAGTCGAATAACGAGAATTGACTTGAGAATACATATATTTTGTACATGAAGCGAATGAAACAGAGCAGAGCAAAATGACACACAGGGGAGATGGCTGGGAAGCCAACTCCATTTTAGTCAAGCGTTACTCAATATTTATAGTCAGACAAAATAAAGCTGCAGACATGTGATTAATGGGATAAGAAGGGCACACACATATACGCTCATATAAAAACAGTCAAGACTGATAAGCGAATAATTGACAAGGTCAAAATATGAATTAAGTAGAATGGAATGTCCGAAAGCTAGAATAAGATATATGGACTTAAAATAATGAATGACACTACAGATTTCCCCAACTGACAATGCGATAGTACTTGAGATAACGATAAACAGAACCGGATGAAGATTTATGATAAAAGCAGATTCTAAGCCACTTGGTGTATTTAGAACGATCACATTTGATAGAATTATACAAAGCAAACCTAATTAACTGAGAATGAGTTGTGTGTTTGGTTATTTTGATCGAAAAAATGGTTTACGCAATGATCAATCTAATACAGACTTGTAATTTCTTGTGAATGATCTTTTTGGGACAACATATATTATGGAACAACATTGTTTTCAATCAGATCCCCATCAGGCTTACTCTAATATCCATTAATGTCTAAATGCATATATGGAAATATTAGACTAATCAAGACATTTTATGAGTCAGCGATAACAGTGGAATAGACCATATAAATATACAGCAAGTAAAAATTACAAGTTGTTAATGCTATGACAAAAGGTCTAGTTGTCATAAGAATAATAAGGCTTAAGTCAATATTTTATAACAAGAAATAGGTCAACAACTTGGAGATACAGACACTCAAATGAAACTCATTAGAATTACGTGATAAGTACTCAAACAACTATATGTATGAAAAGAGTGAAAATAAACGAACAAAGAGTATGGAAAATAATATGAAAAAACCGTTTGTTACGGTTCATTCAGCCAAGAAAGAAATATGGGGGGTTGCGAATTACTTATACACACAAAGACTTGGTTTGTTAGCCTAAATTCATATAGATCTACCTATATGACTCGTCGAGATCGAATCCTGTAAGGAACACTAGTAAGAAAACGATAAATCCCTATAAGTGGTTTGTCTATCTATTACATGACTGTTATCAATTATGTATGACAAAACGCCCGAATCCACATTAAATCACTGCTTGATGGACTGTTTATAAACCAAAAGCCCTAATTTAATCTGTCACACGACCACCACCAACCGAACAGGATAAAACCGATCTACAAATAACCGTTGTTTAACCCTTTTTAAACGAAAAAGTTGCTAGCTATGTAACCTATTAGTAGGCCATGTGTATTTCCCGTATATGAACAACTGAGTCACTCTATAAACACTGTGATAAGACGTTTTTTTGAACAGTTATGATCGGTAAACTAATATGACAAAAGTTGGTCAGATAAAATACTCCTTATATGACCCTGGCTGTATTCATGTACGGTATTACTAACTATAATACTTGACAAGTGACATTTTAAACACTGATTAGATCAATACCTGTTTAATACTTAACCTCAACCCCATTCGTTTCATTTTATAAGGGTAGAATGTTAATAACATACACCGTTAACCAATTTGCACACCAACTGTGTACTTGCTTCCCATAAACAACCAAAATATCTTGAAACTGTTTTTGTCTACACAAATATTTCGAAAATTCAGAGCTTTTTGCCCGCATACAAGCTATTAAAAAATCATTTATAGGCAACTACCGCAAAGACCTTATAGTGTTTCAAGATTTACCCTAGTTGTATTGTTGGGTAAAAATCTATAAAAGTTAGTTTTAATTTATTAGTGGAATGGACAAAACAACAGGTTATAAATGAGAAATAAAAATCATTTACTGGCAAACATGAAACAAACTGCAGAAGTGTTTAATTTATATAGATAGAAACTGATAGACAGCAAGATATACAGCAGCTCGATGTAATAATCACAGAAAATTACGAAGATCTACATATCACATGGCCGACCATACGTACATACTTCCTTTAGACTTAGATATGCCATAATTCTGCTTGGAAACAAAAATATTAAAAAAAACACTTTCTAACATACTGGAGACACAAAATATGCTAAGATACATCAAACATTAGCGGAGTACACTGACACTACTTTTCTATTATCAAGACATCCACCTTAATCATAATAGATAGTACTAGAAGCATTTGTAGTATTGTAAAAAAGCCTTCAAGGGTGTATCCTAAGATTTATTGAAGCCCTGGCTATATGGAAACTGAAATTCCCTTTAGGTATTCACAAACAATTTGATCTTACTCTTAGCCTACCCTGCTAATACTAATTTATTATTCAGAGTGGTTATCACATTTTTTGTGTACTTTATTTTTCCTTGTTACGGCTAACCTTTCATAGGTGTAGTTGACCTTTTAGTTCTTATATAAAAATATCTTAACAAGTATATATGTGATCACACTATTCGAAATGTATTACGCAAATATATCAAATAATTCTGATCAGTCAGCCAGTAACAACGTAGAACTTCGTACCTACGTACATCAGTTCGAGTTGCCACACCACATTAGCACAGAGATGCAGTGGTCGATTCAAATCCCGCAGTGGTAGAGGTAATAAGAGTATAAACAGTAATCAGGAAATTTAGTGTTTGGAGATGTTATTTAAATAGTATAGTACAGTGAAATAAATTTGAGAAGAGAAAAAAAGAGACAAGGAGGAATAAGGAGATCAAAATTTGGGAGAACACGAAGAGTGGATGCACCTACGCAATTGCAAACGATTTTGAGCCATGTCATTCAGGGTCTCTAAACATCGGTTGCTATCATCTCGCGGTCCCCAACCAGGTAGTCTACATCTATCAACATGACTCAGTTCACTTAACAGTGACTTCATGGACTTGTGCCAGCCCCAGCTTTCTTCCAACCTACTCCTATACCATTGAGCATCGCTCGTCGAGGCAGTCGGTCGTTGGGCATACGTAACACGTGTCCCAGCCATCTCAACTGATCAAGTTTCACTACTTCATCAATTGATTTGCCATCCTTACTTAGTACCCGTTTCCTAACAACTGCGTTACTTACTCGATGGTCCCAGGATATACGAGCAATGTTTCGAAGACACCTATGGTCAAATACTAGTAACCTACGGATATTCTCTACCCTTACCGGCCATGTTTCACTGCCATAAAGTAGGACGGAGCGAACTGCTGCGCAGCAAACCCGTCCTTTGGTTGATAGACGGATATCTCGCCTATGCCATAAATGACGCAAGTTGACAAAAGCTAGTCGAGCCTTCTGTATCCGTGATGAGATTTCGTCACACACCAGACCACAAGGGCTGATGAGACTTCCAAGATAAGTGAAGCGATCGACACGCTCAATTACTTCACTCCCTATCATTAGTTCGGGTGTCAATGCAACCCAATTCTGAAGCAACATTTTGCATTTTGAGAGGGAGAATCGCATCCCGAACATGCTTGCATTGTTGCTTAGAGTGGTCAGAAGACTCTGCATTTTTTCAGCGTCTTCATCAAATAAAACTATGTCATCTGCATATTCTAAGTCAACAATTGAACCTCCCGGTACAAGTTCAGCCCCTGGAAATTTAGATGAGGAGAGTGTTATCTCTAAAAGTACGTCGACGACAAAGTTGAACAAGAATGAAGAGAGTGGGCAGCTCTGACGAACACCACTTGAGGTAATCAATTCTGATGACAGTTCGCCATAAGCTCTCACTCTAGCAGTTGTGTTCGAGTCGAGAGCCTTTATAAGGTTAATGTACTTCTTTGGTACTCCTTTCAGTGACAAACACTGCCATAGAACCTCACGATCAATAGAGTCGAATGCCGCCTTATGGTCGAGAAATACTACGATTGTGGGGCGTCTGAATGTGTGTGTGTTCTAGAACCTGACGTAGTGTGAATATCTGATCTACACAACCACGTCCAGGTCGAAAACCAGCCTGGTTTTCTCTAGTCTGCTCTTCACGAGCTTTGGTTAGGCGTCGAAGTATTATTGAAGCTAATATTTTAGATACTATATTTGTCAAACTGATTCCTCTGTGATTGTCACAAGAGGACTTTTGTCCTTTCTTATAGACTGGCACAATCAGTGATTGAGACCAGTCAGATGGGATTACGTCCAGTTCCCAAATTCTACCTAAGACCTCGGTTAATCTGACTGCTAATACTGGACCACCATCCTTAAAAATCTCAAGAGTAAATCTGTCAGGGCCTGCTGCTCTCCCTCGCTTCAGATTTCCTATGGCTTTTTCAACTTCGTAAAGAGACGGAGGACCTACATTAACCTGCCATTCAGGTTGACTGGAGATCGTGGGAAACCGATCCATAAAGTGTTCTGCCCATCGATCCAATCTCCTGGATTGAGAATGTATAATATGTCCATCTTTCTCTGAGGGTGTTTCGCTAACAGTCGGTTTCCTAATACCGGTTTCCTTAACAAGTCTGAACAATTGTCTGCTATTACCTATTGTCGCTACCCACCACTGTTCACGATCATTGCGTAGGCTTCTTGTCAGCTTGCGCTTAAGCTGACTCCGCTCTTCATTATGTTCAGAGCCAGGTGGAATGAGTTTCCGAGCATCTATCAGTGCGATAGATGCTGCTGAGATCCAGTGTTGCTCCTTAACCTTATGGGTTACCGTACTAGCAGATATCACTGCTGTTTCCACAGCTTTGCGGATGTCATTCCATGCTGCCTCGGGGTGGGCATCACATACATGGCTGTCTAACTATTTTCCTAGTTGTTCCTGAAATATACTCTTAGCTTGACTATCATTAAGTAGGGCCCTAAGAGGTTTACTTACAGCGTCTTTCCTACGTCCAGTAAGACGCAGACAGATACGCACTCGTACTAGAGCAGGATCTGAATCTAAGCATGTGCTCCAGAATGAGCGACAGTCTTCTGATAAACTTCGTCTTCTCATTGCATTATCGAAAAAGACAAATGAGATAAACGGAAGTCAATTAAAGACAACTTTGGCTCCCAGAGATATATCTGAGCTATCATGACAAGAGTTATCATACATATCTCGAAGTGAAGGAGTTGAATGAAAACCGTGGCAAAGATAACATGTTCTATTAGCTTTTTTTAATTAACTTGCCAACACGAACCATTTTTTCTTAGAGCATAACACCAGAAGTGTGTTACAGCTGGAAAGCGAACACACGAAACAAGTTTCTTGGTGTTGAATGACATATTATGATGTAAAAATATACATCTAGAACTTCGCTCGGCAGTTAGTAAGTAAATACAACCTATTGACTGAGAGGAAATTGCAGAGGATACATTGAAGTTCTTCAAGGTGAACATCAATACTACTGCACTCACAATTACTGAAACACTGTAATAGTGCTGCTTGATCTTGAGAGTTGTGAACCAATGAACGTAACGCTTGTAAATGGTAATCTTACTTTAGCAATCAGTTACGACGACCAATGACAGGTTTTGATTTTCTGCGGTTCTTGGAAGGTATTAAATCATCCAAATCCTCTTGCAATGACAATTTTTCTGATGTTTTGTCAACTTCACTTAGAGCATAAGTTGGACATCTACAGACGAGTATGTAAAAACAGGAATTGAGTCTACTACTTATAGCTTTCTAACTTTCTTTTCTTTTCATTCAGAACAGCTGAAAACTTCGAGAGCAGAACAATTTCTTTGTCATCTATCTGAGAAACCACTTCTTCATATTTCTGAAAACCATTAAGACATGATACTTCTTACCTTTACGGACATATCAGCCAAAGACTTTAGCTTCTCGTTTTCTCTCTCGAAATTACTGCAGCATAAAATCGATTCTTTGAGACTATTGATGATTAGACTCGTTAATTCGCAAAGTGATTCTAATGGATTATATGAAGGTTGTAAGTAAAAAGATCCGAAGATTATCTAGAATATCATTCAGAGTGTACGTTGATACTTTAATGCCTTTCTTAATTTCTTTTGACCACACGAAATTTAAATTCGCCCCTTCTTCTCTTAAATTGAAGTAACTAGATGGGTCGGAAGAACTAAAAGACTCTGAGAGATTCTGTGTATATTGGTTACGCGTTTGCTTGACGAGATCACAAAACTCATCAAGTTTCACACAATCAACTATCACTGGTCAAGACCAAAAATAATTAACGAACCTACTGCATGCCACAAGCCGTTTTTAATGGCTGTGATACAAATAGAGTTTTCTTGATGAACAAAGATAACTGTATAGCCATTAATCTTCGCATCTCCACAAAGTTTGATTTGCATCCCCATCATTCATAAGTAACACCGACCTTCAATCCTAAAGAATTGAGATAAACAAATAATTGGTGAGATGTTCCTTCATGTTTTACATTTCGGTAACGGAATTTCATATTATTCTGTCACTTGAACTGACGATAAATCATAAAGATAACTACTACTAGGTGGGCGAAAATAGAGTGCATCAACAGTATTCTTCGAAAGACATTACTACGTAAAATTATCCAAATAGTGAAGACAACAACAGAAATTATTCAGAAATCTGCATTGTACCTCCAACGTAATGTTAGTTTACTTGGACTGGCTTTGAATGTGTTTGTAACAGCTTCCCTAAAAATAGACGTTTAACATTAATGATGACTGTTAGCTTTAAGGCACACCTTAATCATGATGAAGGAGAACTCAGGTGCGGTAAACCAATTTGTCTTTCATTCAAAACTACATAGTAATTACGTAAAATACGTTAAGCATATATTAAATACGTTATTTAAAATTATTCCATCATTTGTCCTAAACACACTTCATCATTCTTCCGATCCTGTGGTTATCCAGACTGCTCTTTGTTTGTTACCCTGTTTTCTTCAACTGAATCTTCTGCCGGCAAGCATCCCACTTCCAATCGCTGCGTTATACAAATCATGTCTGACAGAATGAGAGTCATACACCATCTTATCTCAAAATAACAGTTCAACGATCCTAGTCGTGGTCAGAAACAATCAACGCACATCAGTTTACTGCACGCCATGAACTGACCCTAGCGGTTGTGTTCACGCTCTGTTTCTCGTACCTACTTTTACTAATACGTTCTTATACTAACGTCGTTTGTGTCGCACGGTCATCGAAGCAGCCATAGTACTTAAATATGTCGAGAGGTCATTCCACGTTAGCACTGCCCCCGTGGTGTGATTGTGAGTTAGCTCGTTTGTCACACTATTATCGTCCGCTTCGTGTAGGCTCCTAATTTAAAACAGATAACCTGCGACAATGATTTACAGTAACATACTTTATTGACCCTTTATCCATAGATTTCTCATCCTATAGACGCTTTTAATTTTTCATTGGAAGACATCTGCGCAAATGTCTTTGTGTGAGGCATTTTCTTCCTTATGACCAGGACGATATTTTCGTCCAGCATATGATCAATTGGTTCTTCTTACGCCTGGCAACACCAAGCTGTCTCCTTATTTGTTCAGCTATTTTAATAGTTATCCACATTTTCCGAAGAACCTATGTACCCATTTCGATCAAAGCGAAATAGTTTTTCTGGATTAAGACTTTTCAACACGTAATCCAGAACCTAAATGGATTATTCTACCAATTCTAGTTGACGACTTTATGGTGAGAATCTTCTTCGTGGTGTTGAGTTGCTAAGCACGTAAAAGTGTCCGAGTCTGATCATGGACTTCGGGATTTCTATGGCGGCTTGGGAGTTGTGCACCAAATGACTCGGTCAAGTTTGGAATGACCTCCTATCGATTCAGGGCCACTATATCGCCTTTTTCTACGGACTTCGTTATAAATGAGACAACATAAAATCGCCTATGTAGATGATTGAGCAATATTCTTTTCCACCAGCGAATAGGCAAAGAAGTTGGTTATGCGATAAAATGAATTAATATACAGAAGTGCTTTCAAATTTAAGAAATGGATAACCGATTCGGAAGAAGTAAAAGCCTTTTTGCCTGATGTATATAAGGAAGAGTCTTCTATGGATATGGCAACAAGTTATAATACCACTTATGAAACTTATTGTGACATGTATATTCAATGATTTTTGTGACAACAAAATAAAGATCACATTTTTTTATTTGTTTGTCACACCTTATATGTAATCACATCTATATCCAATATCAATTGTTTCTCTGTATCAATGGTAAAGAAACGAACATAATTGTTCAGTTTTATATACGCACATTACCGTGATTGTTGAAAAATAAACTCTATATACGCTGTCTGGTCTTCTGCTTTATTAGCTCGTTATTTGAAGATTATCATAGGCCCTCTCACACTACGTTCGAGATTCGCCCCGGATTATTATTAAATAATACGTTGTGTGTCAGTTAGTTTAAGTTGCGGTGTCTCGAGGAATTCAGAAGAGGATCTATGAACCCGATGAGAAGATGGAAGTTCATTATTTCGGCGATGTGTCTGAAATTTGGCATGGAGCAGTTGCCCACGGGTTAGTTATGTTCAGAAACCACCGTATTGTGTTTTGTTGTATACTTTTTGACGCACCGAACACCTGTCAAACATATCTTTGAACCTCTTCATTCCTTACTTCTGTTTCAGCTGATTTTGAGATCCTAGATTAAAGACATTGAAGACTGCAGTGCAGGTGATCTGTTTGAATTTTCTGGGTCCACTCTATAAATCACTAACGTTGTTGATCTCTGTCGAATGCTTGATGGCCTACTCGAGTTAGACGGAACTGGTGTTACCGACAGCTAACGTAGGAGTCACGCTATGCAGTCAGCACCTAATGTGGATTACTCCTTCGTCGTATCAAGGTATTATGGATCCTTTGAAGACCGTAAGTAAGTTATTAAGGAAATATATTAGTAAGAGAGAGTACAGAAAAGACAGTGAGACCACCACCGCATGGGCCAGTCCATGGCATACGATTAACTGTTACTTTTTGGCTGTCCTTGACTTTGACAGGAACTGGTGATCTTTTTGACATTCAGTGACCCAACTACCGGATGACATTTCATTGGCCCTACAACTCGACTTGGAAGGGAAAGGTACAACTGTACGACCATTGGCCTTTCTTTAACTTATCCACTTGTATAACAACTGGTGAACTATAAGGAAATTGAACTTAGTAGTCATACCTTTTTTTTAAAATCATAAATGACTTCAACTCACCAGTCATCAACCCTGTCTTTTCTGCTAACAGTTCTTTTCTTTTTCTTTTCTTTTTTCAGAACCGTCGAGACGCACCACCTAAAACGCATCAATAAAACAGATAAAATCGTCCTACGTCTTTTCTAATACCTACGATATTTCAGAAGGATTTATAACTATCTCTACTAGGAGCCTGTTAAATTCGCTATCTGGCAACAATATCAAGATACCTCAAGTAATACAATGAAGTTGAAGTTTCTGATCTACCGATTAGGCATTCAACGCATATTCATATATGGACAACTCTAGACTTTTCTTGGATTAAGTTCCAACCACCAGTTGTTCGTCACAATGCAGCTTCCATAATGAGGAACAACTTTTAGAATGAATACTTGAGTGAATAGATTTACATTCGTGTTTCAATGACCACTGTGTCTTTGATCATATCAGCCTAAACGAGCAGCTTATTACGGTGAATCCTGTTGCATTTTTAACATATTGATATTACCATTAAACTGACATGCATCACGTAATATATTGTCATCTGAGAATAAATTATTATTATCGAAACTTAACATGTACGAATCTTCTATGACATCCGTATACTATGTCTACTATGATGACTACATAGAATAAAGTCATATTATTAGGAATCGTATTGATAAGATCAGATAAATACAGAGTGCAAAAGCTGTTGCTCGGTCCAGTCCATGAAATCCAACTGACTTATCCAAGCTAATCGTTTGCGACCTATATGGTAATCAACCGGATGGCTAACTATCAGTGATATATAGTTTAACAAGTAAATGGTTTAGCCAGTATTGTTTTGCCGGTATTTTAGGCTGGTGAGTCGATAAAACGAAGAAGCCAAAAATTCTTTTCCTCGGTAATGTTGATTCACCATTCCTTTCACATAAACTGAGTACAGTCATTTTTGTTTTATTCTAAGAGAGGTGTTCACCACCTTGTCTGCTCAATTGTCTGGTTGCACTCCCAATATAGCTTTCTCCACAGGAGCAGCTGAATTTGTAGATACAGATAAATGTGGCAGAACCACGTAACTTGTACCTTAATTGTGGAATCACCATAGATCGGGTCGAGAACAATGGACAGTGGTTAGCTGCATCAAGCGTTCTCTTCACTGGTCTGATTAATCTATCCTGTAGTACATCACCAGACATATCAGCGTTCGTTTGTAGCTTCAGGAAGATGGGTTTCCTACTAGCTATGGACTTTGTTATTTTCCTGTTTATTACATGCAAACGTTTCCACAGAAAACCTTGTAAATAACATATTTCAGTCAACATTTTATGGATAAGCTCTAGTTCCTTGTTAACAATGTCGTCTGAGCATATCTTTCAAGCTCTATTTGCAGGACATCTGATTAGGTTTCTCGTGTAATGAATGTATACACAGCTGATGAAATGTGTGTGCTGGCTTGCTGAAGAACTTTTCTTATACACATTTTTACTGTTAGGACCACTTTCTTTTCTGTTCAACAAAACGTTGAGGAGATGTAGTTTGTGATCGAGTTGCTCTTCACATGCAAATGTGATCGCAAAACTTTTGTTGTTAGAAAGCACTAAGAGTTCTTTTTTCCTAATGTTCAGATCAACGATAATGAAAGTGCCAACAATGTAACAGTAATAAAAAGTTTATTAATTTTTTATATGCGTGTAAATTTTACTGTATCCTAGAGTAAAGCCTGACGAGGATTTAAATAAAAACGATATTGTTGACTTGTGCATGTTGTCCCAATTATCAGTAACAACACATGGCAGTCTCTGAAGCTATTAAAAGCATCCATTGACTTTCCCGCGATGGTTATATAACGAAGAAGACCTCAGCAAGCTAATAAACCATCAAAGAACAAAATATATTTACTTACATGAGAAGTAATATATCCCTAACGAATAAGGGAAGCTATTTTCCCATCTACCGTTTAAACGACTCAAGCACTAGAAATCAGACAGTCGATAATTTGAATAGACCTTGTACTAACGTATTATGAAACATTATGTAATTTAATAATTAGGATACACGAATTTAGTTGCTTGTCGAGAGAAAAGTATTTCAAACAGGCAAATAACTCAATTCTATCATAAATAAATATCCAACCATGCAAAAAGGATTTCACATACGACAGTTTTTAATTTCTACTCTTTTTCACC